AGGGAGGGAGGAAAGCAGAGAAATAGCTTTAATGAATGGTGGGCACAAAGGGGAGAGAAGCGAGGGAAGGCGACAGAAAGGAAGCCAAGTGGAGGCATAGGAGTGGATACTATAGATGAATGGATGGAGAGAGAAAGACAGTGGGATAAATCTCCACGCTACTGGACGGAGGGATGCATCAGGACAGAAATCCATCCAGAAACTCTTACAAATAAATGTATTCTGACACAAAGAGGTACAGACTGGTCGCACATGTGTAGGGAGGCTGACATGTAAGCCCTTTTCATGTGGGCTTTGAAATTGTGCAGACTTAGCTGAAGGCCTGGGGCGAGGCAGTGGGGAGAAAGAAAGAATGCATCATGGTTTTTGCTCCTGATCTTCATGCATCATTCATCAGCCGTTTGTGCATGCGGTCTTCCTCTCCGTGCGCTCTGTGATCCTGCTTTTCTGTTATCTAAAGGCAGCCTAGCCACTGACCACTACTGCACACTCAGCAAGTAGGGAATGGATGAGCCCCAGGAGTGAGGAAAGGAAGCCCACCCCCTTTCTTCTCTTCAGGTTGAGTCTTAACGAGGAAGGACTAACTAGAGTCACATCACTAACTAAGCCATGGTTTACTGAAGAAAGCGCCATTGGTAGGGTGCACACGACCTGCTGAACCATCCAGTGCCATAGACAAGACGCAGGGACTGTGCTTACACAATGCAGCAAGCCAGAAAAAATTATGACTTAGCACATTAGGTGAACGAGCCCTATTTGTGAAATGGGGCAACAATGATAGGCCAAAGGCTAAGCAGGTGGACGTTAACCTTCCTGCCAATGTTGATAAAATGCAGTCAATGACCCAGGCCAAGAAACCTTTTTACTGTGGCAGACTATTGATCCATACAATTTATAGATCAATCACAATGTCTTGGAACACATAAAGGATAGAATGCCCTGTTCTCGCTGCTGAGGAACTACAAATAGATCCCACATGGCTCAGGTTAACGCTTCTAGCATTAAAGGATGGGACTTCTAGTGACTGTTGGCTTGGATTGATTTATTTGTTCATAAATGTCACCCCAAATGCATAAATACTTTTATAAAGACCTGAGTTGACAGGAATCGGGGGCAGGGGGGGCTCTAATTCACAAAGGCCACCGAGCTCTCCAGTCCTAGAGAAAAACAGAAGCACGAGTAAACAGTCAGTCCCGGGGTATGAACAGAAAATCAAGATGGCAGACACAATGATGTGATCGTAGCTCTGGCTGTCTTTTAGGTGTGTCACACGTGCAACACACATAAAAAACAACAGAGCTTCAATCGCACTGTCACAGATGCCCTCTTGACTTTTTTTTGACATGCCTTGCAGACACCCCTGTGAGTCCTGAATAATGAACAACTGGGCAACTGTCCCAGAGAGAAAATGTAGTATCCTGGGAACTTTAATTTGCGGGGGGGGGGAGGAAGTAATAAAGAAAACAGCCCATTTTTAACACTTATGTTTGTGGTGTCCTTGTGCTCTCTGAGCTTGGTTGTTTGCAGACGTTTCATTACCCAACTAGGTAACATCTTCAGTGCTGGAAGGGAGTGAGCTTTGCTCCCTGTTTATATACAGTAGCTTGCCCTGCCCATTTTGGGTGGGGTGTGGTTTTTCTCCTTGGTCGTTCCTTGATTAGGATATTGTTTTCAGCTTGATTGTTTGCCTGATGTTAATCCCTGCTTCCCTCTTTTTGTCTCCCTCTTAGTTCTTTTATTGTATCTTATGAATGATGTATAAATATGATTTATTTCTATGTGTGTATTGATGGCTGATTCAGGAACTACCAAGGAGAAAACCACACTCCCACCAACACTGGCAGGGCAAGCTACTGTATATAAACAGGGAGCAAAGCTCACTCCCTTCCAGCACTGAAGAAGAAAGCCACACTCCCACCAACACTGGCAGGGCAAGCTACTGTATATAAACAGGGAGCAAAGCTCACTCCCTTCCAGCACTGAAGAAGAAAGCCACACTCCCACCAACACTGGCAGGGCAAGCTACTGTATATAAAAAGGGAGCAAACCCCATACTCCCTAGCACTGATGATGTTACTTAGTTGGGTAATGAAATGTCTGCAATCAAACAACCGAGCTCAGAGAGCACCAAGGACTCCACAGGTCAACCCTGAGCTACTGATATACTCTTCTATTGGGACTTATGTTTATAAATCAAACATGGAAACAAATAGGGGATAAAATCACCAACATGTGGAAAGGAGTTCAAAGCTCAGAATACACATCAGTAATCAGCCACTTGGTACCATCCAATATGCTAGGATGAAGATCCAATACATCTGACAGGGACCAGGCTGGGGAAGATCCTCTTAGTGCCATGGTTCTTTGCTTTGTCGCATGGAAAACAGATGCCCAACCATTTTGCATCTTTAAACACGTCTACTTTATTTGTACAATTAATTCAGGACATCACATTCAGTTTTCCTGGTGTCTAAATTAGATTATCAAAGGGAAAGGAGGGGGGGCTGCAGTCATTCAGGATCAAAGCGTACAATCCTATGCATAGCTCATAGGATTGGAAAGCTGATGGACAAAGAACATTTACATAGAAATGGACAGAATTTGGAGTAGAGGGTTATTCTGACAGACAGTGTTGGCCAGCCATCACCATCCTAGCACCTTCCAGTATTGATTGAACTCATAGCGAATCTCCATGCAATTGTACACAAGTGTGCAAATATAAAGATAGAAACCAGTTCAGAGATGGCTACGCTGGCCAAGCCTGATGGGAGTTCTAGTAAATCCATCTGGAGCAGGGTTGGTTGGGAAAGGTTAATCTGGACAGATGGATGGAGCTGAATTTGCAGATTGTGAGTGGGATTGGAAAGACAGCCTGAAGGAAAATACTGATAAAACTGATCCCTTTTTACAATGTATTTTCCTTAATTTTTCTAGCATCGCTTGGGACTCTTGAATTTGACATTCTCTATGATCCAGAAAGCTGCACCCTTGACTGCACCATCCTACGAGCCAAGGTAATCTTGTTCTTTTACTGGCCCTCAAAAACATCTTCTAAACCAGCTTTTCCTAATTGGTGGGATTTGGACAAGTCGTGTAATTTCTTGCCAACAGAGCCACAGCCTGTGCTCGTGGGGAATTATGAGGGTTGCTGCCCAACTAACTTGGAGGATAGTAGGCTGGGGAAGGCTGCTGAAAACAAGCACACTCTTTCGGTTTCTTAGCACTCTTGATGCCTTTGGATTCAACCTTTCTGCATCACATGTTGCGTTTTCACAATAAAGGGCCATGATTTAATAAAAGAGGCCACACCGGGATGGGAAATCTCATTATGGAACTAGCAATGTTCATTTTAGCCTCCCTCTCTTTTTTCCTGCCACATGCAGCCCAGTCTCCCCACCCCATCTACCGAGCCTGTAGAAGTCAAGCAAGCTCCCTCCAAGTGTCACACCAAACCTCCAGGATCTTCAGTCAGCTGCTTTTCTGCAACTCTGGCCCTCAACACACACACCAGCCATACACAAGCCCCCCTCCCTTTCTTCCTTCCCAGCTGGTGGGCTTGCAGCATCTTCAAGCACCTCGGCGACGCGCCAGGCAACCGGGTATCCGCAGGCATCTGGGGTTGCTGTGGCAACAGAAGAGGGCAGGGGGGAAGCATGGGAAACAATGCGGCAGTTCAGAACCACAGCAAAAACTAGCCCACAGCCCGCCACTTCAGGCTCCCTCTTGGAGAAGAGTAGATGAGCCTTATTCCCAACTTGCAGATTTCTGTTTCCTTGTCGTCACCCTCTGCATCTCTAGGGGTTATGCATAAACTATTTAGAGTGTATGTTTACCTGAGTGAGGTTTTAAAAATATTTTTATGACTGGTATATCGTTTTCCCGGTGGCCATTCTCCAATAAAGGCAATTTTGCTGGAATTTCAGCAAGGGTTCTGCACAGTATTAAAATGCACGGCACAGATAGTTCTGGGATTTGAAGCAGCGTCTATCGGCCACCAAAGGCATAAAGGTTGCGTCCCTATCCAGGAAGGTAAACCAGGGCTTCTCTAATGGGGTTTCGAGAAGCTACCAGTCCAACCATGATTTAGATACAAACTCCCCACATCTGCAGTGAAACTTAATCAGGCTATCAGTGCTCTGTTCCTTATGCCACAGATCTCACAGTGACTGTAATTCTGAAATAATCCACCAGATTAATTGCTGGATGGAGTTGCAATCGAGAAACGCCTGGAAAGTTCCACTGGTCAGAATGTGGAGTTCCAGCTCTTATCTAAGAAGATACTTTGCAGATGTCGAGGAGCGGATTTTGCAGGCTCTCAATTCAGCTCCAAACCCATTCCAGAGTGACAGCCTTAATCTTTCAGAGTCCAAAGCAGGACTATGCAATTTTTGTTTTTGCCTACCAAGCCAGAGCTGATGCAAGTAGGAGGTTGATCCTCAGGCCCAACTAGGTGCAGACACCAACTTCCTCTCCGTCTCTTTTTACCTAAGACCCCGTTTTTTCTTTTCTCATTCTCTTTTCCTTTCTCATATTCCCTTCCTCTCCCTCCTAAACTGCAGATTATCTCCTTAAAAAAATGAACAGCAAGGGCAATCAATCTCTCCAACCCAGCTGCCTGTGGAGAAAAGACAAAGATACCCTTTACCAGAAATCTGAACCAATCTCTTGCAGAAGAATTTTCATAAATAAATACTGTTTCCCCCCACTTAACCAGCAAGTATTTGCAAGGCTGACTTCACCACTTACAACATTCACTGCTGGATTGGAATTAGCACAGAATGTTGCACCCATAATACAGAATAGGCACACAAATGTCTACTTCTGAGTGGGAATTTTGTAATCCTTAGAAGGGCAGAGACATTTCTACAGGCCTTTGACGGTGTGGAGGTGCAAAAAGAACCACAAAGGATTAATATTGTATTCAGGCTACTGTGGAATTTAAGCCCCATCTTCTTTTTTCTCAGGGACTGAAGCCAATGGATTTTAATGGCTTGGCTGACCCTTATGTCAAACTGCACCTCCTTCCAGGCGCTTGTAAGGTAAGCACTGAGGGGGGTCTGCAGGGAGGGGGTTAAAAAGGTCAAGATGGTGGCCAGAAGCATGTGATTGAAGCCCTGCCCCATTTATATCCAGCATGACATAAAAGGGGTCGCCATTTTGACTTTTTTGACACCCCCCCCCGCATGGACACTTTTGGTAAGCACAGTCTTAGCAAGAGAATTAAGAAGTCCCTGCCTTAGTGCACTTAGAGAGGAAATGGGAACTGAAGTGAAAGTATTCAGTGGTCAAGATCTCTGTAATCTAATCCATTTTTCTTTCCCGTCAATCCAATTCTCTGTTGCTAAGACCTCAGCACCGGTCTAGTTTAGAGCTCGGCAGAGGTATCTGCAGGAGGGTCAGAAAAGTCAAGATGGCAACCGTGCAACTGAAGCTCCACCCCTTTTTCACATGTGTCACAAAGATTTTAAAAGGGCAGAACTTCAACTGCGTGGTTGTGACCCTCCTGGACCCTTGTGATCTCCTCACATTCTCCCATCTAGGAACTGACCTGATCTCATCCTGCTTAGGTTTTCAAAATCAACTAAGGTGTACTAGATGTTGCTATCTAGCAGCATGCATGTACACATGAGTGGTACATTTGGCACAGAAGCAGGCTGGGATAAGCTTCATCTCGCATGTTAAACATTCTGAAAGAGAAGTAATGTATACTGTATACACTCACAGATCAGCCCATCTACGGATAAGCCGACCCTTGAATTTTTAACCAAAATATTGTGAAAAATGTGCCATCTGCAGATAAGCCGACGTTCAAAATGTCTGTACGTTTTAATTTTCACAATTGGCTTATCTGTGGGTAATCCACGGATTATCCGTTTTGCATGGCATTTTGGTTAAAATTTCAAGGATGGGTTTATCTGCAAGCATATGGGTACTTTTAAAAAGTATGACTGTATATTCTCGCAGATAAGCCCATCCACGGATAAGCCAAACCCAATTTTGGCACCTAAAATTCTCAGCTCATTTGCGAGTGTATACAGCAGTGTTTCTCAACCTTAGGAACTTTAAGATGTGTGGACTTCAATTCCCAGAATTCCCTAGCCAGCATGCTGGCTGGGGAATTCTGGGAGTTGGAGTCCAGACATCTTAAGGAAGACAGATTCTGATTGAATATAAGGGGGGAAAACTTCTTAAGGGGACAAACAGTTGGATGGAGAAACAATGACCTTGGCTCCCCTTTCCTGGAGATATTCAAATGAATGCTTAAGCTATTCACATTACTGCTCTCATTATACTGTATTTTTGAAAGAATTGAAACAGAAATTAATCTTTGGGTAGGCCTAAATTTAATCGCTACTAATAATAACAATAACAATACCACTAACAGAATATGAAAAATGTCTTCTTTCAAACCATCACAGGACTGGTACTAATGAGAGGGCTGGGGACGTCACCTTCATGTTCTCTGTGGCTTCCTACCAAGACTTTTCTCTTATGCAGAAGTTTAGGGCGTGCACAACTTTGCATAACTTATTAGATAATAAGAGGCTTCTAAACCAGCCGTAATTGGATGCTTGGAATAGAAACCCTTGATTGCCTAGGTTACATTATCTCAGGGCCAAAAAAGATGTGGCATGGGAATATGTGGCCAGATCTTCCAAATTAATATTTATGATTATTTACGTATGCTCAAAAAATAGCAGCGTAGGCCTGATTGTATTAGAGCAGCTGTGAGAAGCAGGTGCTGAAACTTTTCCCCCTGTGCTGTTTTCCCTGTCTAAATCCACCCACTCATCCTGAAGCAGTTATTAGCCGTGCTGGGGAAAACGGAGAGATGGTCTAGGCATTTGCGATCCTCTTCCCTCCATGAGTCTAACACCAGCTTCAGGATAGAAATCTTGGTGCGCGCTTTTCTGTCTCCGGCGGGCCAAAGGAAATCCACACCTTTCTAGGAAATCAAGGCCGAAATGAAATCCACACCCATACCACAGCCCTAATCAAAACTCTTGGGAGTAGCTGCCACAAACCTGGATGGGGCTGTCAGATTGGAGAAGAAATCTTAACCAGAGAAGGGTGCAAAGGTCCCCAGGACAGAAGGGGCAACGGGCAGTTGACTGGGGAAGGGGAAAGAGATATGGAAGGTATGAAGCCGAAACAGGATTCCTGGTAGCACGTGCAGAGGAGCAAGGGAGGAAAATAACAGATGCACCACTGTACCAAGACACCATAAGCACCTCTTTTATACAGGCATCCTGATGTTGCACGTGCAGATGAAAGGTGCAGAGCTTGCATTACAACTGTGCAAGGCTACTTTAGTCATTTGAATTAAAACAGCGGATCCTGGAGATGCTCTGATCCCCAGTAACAGGGTTCAGATCGTTCAGAGCCATGGCTGAACAAGGAACAGTAGGCTAGGTTTAGCTAATACACTGAGCCAGTGTTTCTCAACCTCAGCCACTTGAAGTTGTGTGGACTTCAACTCCCAGAATTCCCCAGCCAGCCATGCTGGCTGGGGAATTCTGGGAATTGAAGTCCACACATCTTCATGTGGCTGAGGTTGAGAAACACAGCACTAAGCCATAGACCATAACTTTCCAAAGTGCCAGTTTTGGTTTCACGTAACCAGAAAATGCCAAAATCAGACAAGCAATTTAGGGTTTAGTGTGTTGGGTGAATCAGACCAATTTTGGGCAGCGGACTAAGTCATCATTACACATAGAACTTGCTGCCACAAAATAGAGAGGGGACTAGCAAGGATCACTTTATGAATGGATTGGACAGATCCACAGAGAGGTTTAGCAACCCAACCTGATAACTAGATAAATCTGTCATTTGCAAAGAAATCATACATTTTGCACATCAGGTGCTGGGGCAGAGGCTTCCACAAGGGAGGGACAAGTGACAAAAGCAGTACCACACAACAGGGCAATGTAAATGCCACCCCTACCGTATGGGCTTCGTGACATTGCATGCATGTATGAAGAGGCAGAGCCTGTGTCACCACAGCACAAAAGCCTGCAGTCCTGCAGAAATCTCTGCACTGGGGCACCCATAGGCCCTGGAATGGGTGCCACTGCCTTCATAGCCTGCCCAAGCCCCTCTGACTGGCCATCGACCAGGGCCCAATGGTAAACACTTTGGCCCGATTCGGCCACCAAGACGCCGGTGAAATTATTCTGTTCGCTGTGCACAGAAGACCTCATACCCTTAAAGGGGCTGCAGATATAAACTACTGTAAATAAGCAAGAGTGTGCAGGGGCTAGGCTGATTTGGCCCTACCATTAGCAAGGCTGAGAAATGATCAGAGTTTAGCCCAGTGTTTTTCAAACGTGGCCACTGTAAGATGGGTGGATTTCAACTCCCAGAATTCCCCAGCCAGCATGCTTCCCCAGGGAATTCTGGGAGTTGA